CAGTCTAGAAATTATGCAGATTAAATAAAATAATTTTTACATACGTAAGCGTCCTGTGTGTCTGGCGTTCGCTTGTGATCGCGGACTTTGGATCTGAGGAGGCCCAGAGTCCCGAGTTCAAGCCTCGCTGCAGACGCATTTGGACCGGTTGCTGTGAGTAAAAAAAAAAAGCCTCCCCCACTTAAAGCAACCGTAAAAAAAAAAGATAAAAAATACAATTCAAGAAAGAAAGAAAGATATATGTGTGTACTAAAAGGCCTCTGGCGCGGGATGAAATAAGCCCCGTAAGCCTAAAATGTACAATTCAAGAAAGAAAGAAAGAAAAGAAGAAAGATATATGTGCGTACTAGAAGGCCTCTGGTGCGGGATGAAATAAGCCCCGTAAGCCCAAAATGTAAAAAMAMCCCACTGAGAAATGTATCACGCAGAACACCAAGCTATCCCCAGTGGGGTTTCTGGCAACGCCAGTTTTGCATTTTTATTTTCTCGGAATCCATCCTAACAGGTGGTGGTTGGGGTCTTTTTTGTAAAATATTTCGTAGATTACGTCAGGGTAATATGGAATATCCTTATTCAACCGACAAAACATCCACTCGGCTCTTGTCATATCAGAAACCTCAGGAATAGACTTACCGGTAATTTCAGGCAAAAGATAGGGAATAGCTTTGCTAGCTTTAATTTTTTCAGCGTTTTCCGTAGACTTTGCGGGGTTGGCTCTTCTAAGTGGTCTATGATTTTCTTCTTTACTTCGTTGTCTAAATATACCGGTCGATAACCTTGGATATGACTCATCCAGTCCCTAAAGTATTTTATTCTCTTATAAGGTGTTTTTTTCTTACGACCTCCATTGGCGTAATATTGCTCTCTGGTAGCATTTGATACGGCATTACGAATATTCTTAGCACACTCGTAACACTGTGCTGACGTGTCATGTTCTATTTGCATTTTTTTACCACAACAAACAAGCTTTCTTGGCGGTGGGGTAACAAACTTAGGTTTCAAGCACTTTACACAGACGTCATAAGCAAACTCTTTACATTCATGCATATATATTTCATAGATCTTGTAAACACAGCAGCAGTAAGGGAATCATCGCGTGGGTAATACCCGCGGGACTCGCATGGTACTTGGCGGGGGTAATACCCGGGCCTCCCGGTACCCCCTCCGCGAGTCCCCCTTACTGCTGCTAACGTTCGGTCACGACATTATTGTATAGTAGTGTTGTAGTGTTGGAATAATAGCGCATTGCAGCTATGCAAAATTTGAACTCATATCTATTTTTAAAATGTTTTATCATGCCATAAAATTAGAAAAGAAAGATGAAATCTCGAAGTATTACTATTCTTTTAACATTGCATTACCATATGCATTTACAAAATCTGTCATCGGAGTATCACTTATATTCAAGCGGGAATGTATAGACCCCCAACAGATGGGCATCTAAAAGATGCCCATCAGTTGCGGGTCTTTTGGTTGCTAAGAACGTGTTGCTCGTTATGTAAGAGACAAAACCAACACCTAATAGTATAATATATACTACTCATACTTATCAGTAATGGAATTGTGAATGTAATTACCAAACAAGTAACAGAACAACAATAAATATTTCTTAGTGTCACCATATTCTTTCATGTAAGTTTATATAATAATTTTAAATTCTTCAGA